CACACAGCGGTCAATCATTAAGTCTTATTGAGTGCGTTAATTCAACCATGAAAACTGTTAGTAACAGCAACTGTAAAGTGTTTGCCAGAGATGATGCAAAATATAACAGATACGAGTATTATTATTATTATTATTTATTGATTCATAAAAGAAATTCATACAGCACTTACAAAAATTATAGGATTTTACTTAAAATCTAAATTGACAATAACATATTTGTTGTGTGTCAGATTGGCATACAAAAGAAGGTGCATAATATTAACATTATTATTTATATAAATTCTTCAATAATTAATTTTCTGTAACTCAAAACACTTTTCATAAATTTATACAGTTTATAAATATTGCTACCGTTTAATAAGATTTTCACTTCTTCTTCGGACAGAATACGCCTATGTTCTCTGAAAGATACGAGTATATCAACTAATAGAAGTAAATTTTAATTTCAGTTAACTGTCTTAAATTGAATGGTAAAAATAGTAAAAAACGCTGTTCACGAGTAATACGAGTTCACGAGTTTTTTGGATTCAAATGAGATTTGGTGTGAAGGCTGCTACTCAAACAAATTACACGTAACGGTCTTAAAAGAAAGAAGTAAAACATAAATATGGTCCATATACCTATGTGCATTACTATGGAAAACAAAAACAAAAAAACAAAGAAGAATGGAAGACCGTTGTTAAACAGGCTTAGGTCCTATATGGACTGTATAGTCACAGATGATGATGATGATGTGCATTACTAATTGCATATACTTTTACCGGGATATAAATGTTCTTATTTTCCCGTTCAGGATTTTTAATTTTTATTAATTGTAAAGAAATTGTAAAATTGCAGTAATATGTATATGCCTTGTGATAAAATATCATAAATCACTAGGAAAATTGGAAATACCTATATAGACTAATATCACAAATAACAAACAACTGCTCAATTTCTGTCACTAGTGCAAATTACTTATCATAAAGACAAACTAAGAATAGTACTATAAGTAGTAAGTACCACACACTAAAAAGTTAAGTAGATAATAATCTATCTATCTCCAGACCAAAATTTGTTGTTTTAAGTTAAGTATGCTCAATATTTATGTTTCAGAGGATATTCGCCAGTTACAATAGCTCTCTTTGATAAGCATTTTAGACTTAATTGCATGTTCAACATTATTTTAAACCTTGGATTAGTATCGGACTACTACGAATTAATTAGTATTATACTCATGAAATTAGTTGCAATTATTTATAGTTTATTTGTTTATAGACTTAAATGTTGTGATTAAATTTTTCAGATTGATGAAATTGTTTTGAAATATAAATTATAATTACAACATATAGAAGAAAATTAAATTATTTGTGAATAAATTTATCACATTTCAACATTTAAGGTTGCAAAAAATGTTATGAAAACTATATAAAGTAATAGATTATTCAATTTCACTTATTGTTTAACATATGTAACGTAAAAGCTCCGTTACTGCTTACACTTTTCGATAATCCTCATCAATCTATTACAATTTTTTGTAATAAAATAATAACTAAATATTTAAATAAAATTGCAGAAAATTGTTAAAAATTTCTTTTAAGATTTTAAAACTGAATAATTCTTGTCTGCTAGGAATCACATATCTGACTATTTGGATATAGGTATGATGTTGGATAGGAAATAATCTTAATTGGGGAGAGAAGAATAATATTAATGTCCTTTGATAATTTTCAAATTTGTTATTTGTTAGACGTAACGCTATATTTGTAATGAATTTGATATATATAATCACTCAATGAAATTGAAAATTCCTAACACTTATAATAATAAAAAACAAATATAATAAAGTTATTTCAATTAATTAGTACCATTTTTATTTATTCAACTATATTAATTAGTTGTTAGTAAATGATGTTGCTGAATCATAAATCACTATTCTATCACTATTCTAATGTTCAAAACAAAACCCAAAAAGTATTTGGTACGAATTTGTTAGATAAATTATTTATTTTAATTTTTCAGCATTTTTTATATTCAACTCTCCAAACGTAGAGCCCAACATCAGTTTATTGAACCTGAGCCATTCTTGTAGTCTTACGACGTTACCCATTATAAGAAAACTTTGGCGATGGGAAGAATCTTAATTTTATAAGCACTGGCAGAACAGTAAAAACCAAAAATAATTGAAAAGTTTCATCAACTCCTACAAAGTAGTTTTAAACAATTTATTGCTCGGTGTAGGGGGAAAAAGTATAAAAATTATCATAAGGTTTCTTACACAGCAGTACATGTTGAGATATCCTTTTGACATAACCAGTCTCTCAGATATTTGTGTATACCGCTGCTGAAAATTGGGTGTTGAAATATTTAAAAATGTTCTCTGTTTAAGGCATTCTGAAACCGCATTACAAACACCAACCTATGGGCCGTCACGAATCAATCACATGCTACTGTTGACACATGTAGACGTAAATGGTGCCGAATAGGCCATGACTACCGCAGACCCAATGAAAACACTGCACTCCAACCTCTGAGGTCGAATCCACAAGGCATCCGTCGACCTGGTGCGCCAGTTAGAACTTGGAGGAGGACAATTGAGAAAGAGCTAAGAGAAGCTAATTATTCCAAGGAATGATATCTGTCAAGAATCAAGTAACAGAATCCGATATGAAAGAATGGTCGAAGCCTTACGCTTCCCTGGGAGATGGGTATGAGAGAAAAAGAGAGTCATCCAACTAGCGGACAAATTCATTGCTTTACAAAATATATATAACAATACAAATCATCTAAGTTGTTAACGATAGTTAAAAACCGAAGTATCACCTTAGTATAAAAACTTAAGTAAAACGATACGAACTACCTAGGCATATTGGGATTTATAGATTTTCCTACATAATAATAGTAGTAAATTGTTATTAGCTTTGTAAAATTTTAAGACCGTATTTTCTTTTTTCTGAAATAACATTGACTAAGTTAGCAAGCTAACCTTTGTTCGCTTAACGCCTCTTATACAAGACGTTTCACGTACTGTTGTTAGTGCACAGTCTTTAGCTAGAAATATATCCATATTATCTATCAGTGACAATATTTAAAAAAAAAATGATGTTTAAGTTTTGAAAAACCAAATTCAACAAAATCAAATTCTTTTAGTAAAATTATGAAATGACATCGTTAGCCATGCAGTTGCAAATACACCTGTCCGCACAGGAATTACGCAGTCATTGCCAGATAAATGTACCATAAAAATAGACCCCTTCAAATCGACTTTCAACTACTGCCATGCTCTATAAACGAATGAGTTCCAGTACCAGCATAAATGGGTGTTGATTTTAATGTTAAATGTGCGGGTAAATACAGTGCTTCCGTTTCCGCAACCGCTTTATTTCTTTATGCCATTTTTAAATTTCAGTTTCAATTTCTGTTATATTTTGTTTTTGTTTTTTGTTGCTTTTATTTGTTGTTTTATTATTATTAACTATGGTATGTACGTTTAACCTATTTGAACTAACCTTGGTTAATGCAATTTGACGGTGTATAGATAAAAGCAGCGCTGAAAAGAGCGTGCACCGCAAACTCTTGGAACAAATGAAAGGCTGTCGTTTTGCCTTTACCGCTTTAACGCAAAAGAGGCGAAAAGAAGGTACCCACCAGGAATGCATAAAAAAGTTGATAGTCAAAAACTTGCACAAAGTGAACCTTGACCGGAAAGTGAAAATGGAAAGACACGAATGCACACAGAATGAAAAACTAAAATGCAACTGAAATTAAAATTAAAAAAAAATATAAATTCTCTTTAAATTTCATCAATTTCACCTGCGCATGCATTGAAATTCAATGAAAACTTTTATAAGTAAAAATTCCTTTTGCAGTTCCAGCGACCCACGTGCACAAACAGAGCCAAGCATTAAGATTTATTCGCTTCTTTTAATGCTTTTCAATAGTTTTGGCCTGTACGGCTTTTTATTTGCATCTAAATTTTTCTCATGCCATGGGAAACTACCCACACCAAGCGCAAAAGTTTGGGAAGTGCAAAAAGTGTGTTGACCCAGTTAGTGCCTATCACTTTTTTGTTTGCATTCCCTCTGCTGCTGGCTGTTCCGTAGAAACTGGTATCTCATAGAGAAAGTAGCGCTGAACTATTAAAATAATTATAGGTACGGCATACGAGGACTTTCACTTATAATTACTATGGTTGTGGTTAATCGCAAGGAGGAAAATAGAAGCACCAAGCAGCGGAAGACAGAAATTAACTTTGAATTTTTTTCTAATGCCATAAGGTTTCAAGTAAAATGCATAGACTAAGTTGGAGTAGCATTAAGGTAAAAATTTAAAAATGATTTAAATCTAATAAAGGAAGAAGAATGGTGGAAAAATAAAATTCGTTTTAATAAATCAGTTTGAAAATTAGAAGTAAACAGGTAATACACTGGGTAAGATGAAGAGATTTTTTCGAACAGTAGTGAAACACAACAACAAAAATTTTATTTTTATTAATTAATTGAATTTTTGGCTGACCATACAGCTGTTTCGAGTATTGCCAAATACCCATCATCAGTGGTCTTGGAAATAATTCTTGTATTTAATTATTCGTAAATAATAGATAAAAAAATAATGTAAAAAAGATATTGATAAATTTCTTAGTTTCATTATAAAAAAACATTTCTAATTTAAAATAATTTTTGTGTCATAACAACATATATTGTTGTTGTAGCTTTAACTATACTAGAATCATTATCATTTATTTATCTTCTAACTGATGATGGACCGTAGATCAGCAGATCATATCTTCCTGTGCGTTCTGAGGTTGACTTAAGGTTTGTTAGGGCGGGGTTGGGGCAATGTATCTACTTTTGTGAATAATTTTAGGGCTCTGCCCTTGATATATTTTTCACTGAGACGATTCTTAGATCTCTATACATGTCTGCTGTTCAAGTAGAAAATACTTAAACATTTCTTACAAATGACAGTACTGAAATTTTAAAAAACAATAATTTACAACTATTGAATTAATTTGTATAGCTGTGGTTTGTGCGTTAGTTCTAAATAATTATACAGTAGCTGCAAGCTTTGTTTATGAATAAACAATATAAATTGTCAAAACTCGGCTTTATGTGTTAAGACGTCAGTTCATGGTCAAATTTGACATGATATAATTCTTGATATTTGACAAATCAATCCGTATTTTTAAATAACACTCATGATGGATATTTGGCGGTATTGTAAGCAGCGTATGGTTAAACAAAGAAATCAATTTGATTGTAAAATAAAAAAATGCTTTGTGGTGTTCCAAATAGCACTATGGTTAGCCTAAGAATTCAATTTGATTGAAAACTAAAGAATTGTTTGCCTCGAAAATTCCCACATCTTTTTCTATTAAAATTAATATATAATTGATGGTTGGATAAGAAGTTAAATAAAACGTTGATACACCTAGTATATTGATTAACCATTACATATTGTTATTGATAAATTTACAAATCAAAAAAGTTGTAAATATTGAAAATAAATCAGATTATCAATAATTTTAAATTACGCACTATAGCTACTTTCTACTTTTGATTTACCCTTTGCAGGTTCTATTCTCTAACACCGCGAAAGAGATTTGATTACTATGTTTATGCTATATTTGCGCAACCCCACCATACTTCATTCAACTTTTCTTCCCGGACCAGTGAAAGTTGTATATAACTTGTTGTTTGGGTCTTCAGATGCCGACAGATCTTGCATCTATATAGCATAAGTGATATCATAAAGCGTTGATGTCAGCGTTGATTTTTGTAATCTACCTGATATTTGTTGCTCTAACAAAACTTTATAATTATATTAATATCTAATATTCTAATATCAAAAGTGATAGCAGACTGCCAAGCTATTTCAAAGCGATAGATCTATAATTATATATATTATTTTATATAAACTTCTTATTAAATTTTGATGATAATTTTTTTTTGGATTCTAAATAAAAATACTAATTTTTTTTTTAACTGTCTTTGAGTAATTCTAGTGCTCTTTATAAACGTATTTATTTGTTTTAAACAATCTGCCCTAATGAAAGGTTCGGTATAGTTGTCTCCTCTTATCTATCACATACATTGACTTGTTCTATACATTAAAGAACGTGTAAAGATATTAGTATTGAAATGATTCAAAATAGTTTGTGAGAGTAAAAGGACAATATGCAAAAACTTATTAGTATCATCTGTGTTTGATATTGCCTATCACCTATTAGTAAACAATCAATGTAAATAGTAGTATTCTCACTCTACAATACTACGTAGGTGAAATGTATCATAAATGATTATTGTTATTATATTATTTATTAAAATTATTGACGTGAAATTGGCCGACAACTGAAATTGCGGCCAGGAGAGTCTTATTGTACCAATTTCACTATTGATTATACAAAGCCTTTTAAAGCTTTGTGAACAAAGTCTAGAACCAAATCTAGAGAAGAGCTCTTAATCCGTTCTGGTGACAGATATACCACATGAAACAAGTTTTTTCTATGTGGTGTCACAAAGAACACAAAGGGCAGTCACAAGGAATATGCATTGTATGTTCCTCATCTTCGAGGCATTATTTGTATTCCGAATTAGCAGATTATCGTAGTTTATGAAGGTGATATTTCAGACCATAATGAAGGTTGATAAACAATTACATCCACGGAACCCTTATCATCATTTTCCGTTGCGCTTACAATCGGATCAACTAATTCAGAGCAATAATGCCCAATAATATCGTCATCTTTAAGAAAGCTTCATATACACATTTCATTGTCAAACTCAATATAACCGTTGGGAGTAACATTGGAAGTTTTTTTATTTACTTTAAACCACGCTGCCAGCGATTAAAAAAATTAAACATTTTGTTCGGAAAAAGAGACTTCGCCTAACACCAGAATGGATTCATACTAGAAACAAAAATTCGACTTATAGAATGCACTTTCCCAATTTCCTATCGGCACGGAACAAAACTTTTATTCGAGTTATAGAGAAATTCTAGTTATAGAAGTTCGAGTTATGGAAACAGAATTGTATGTAATTTACTCTAAAACCTGTTTTTTGGTTCGAGTTATAGAAGTTGGACTTATGGAAGCTTGACTGTTTTTAAATTTATAAAATTTTAATAACACTGAAAGCTGCATACTGCATTTGCCACATGTCTAAAAATAGGAGGAGCAGGAAGGAGATCTACTATTATTTGTTGCAACTTCAAACAATAATAAAAATATATATTTAGTCAGAAATCTGTGCAATGCAGCAATGCAAATTAAACTAAAATAGGCCAAAAGTAATTTATATGCACAAATTGCAGCACTTATTTCTTCGAAAACGGCTGCAATATACGGGTATGGATGTGTGTTGGTAGCGAAATTACAATATATAACCAAATTATAGACCCAGATTTGCATATGATAATTTACTGCACGATAGCTAAAAATGGATAAAAAGACCGAAAAGAACAAAAATTTAACTGAAATGAAATAAATGCAAAGTTTTTAGCCACATTTTTAGGACTCATTCAAATTCCTTTGGAGCGCATTGTGCCATGTGGCAGCGCATTGGGTTAAGTATGTCAGCAATATCAATTTTTCGGCTGTTGTTGGTATGTATGTATGCATGTGTATGTATGCATGTATTCCCAAGCGTAAGGACTAAGTTTTGGAGAATATGTTAAAAGTACAAATACAATGTATTTAAACTTTTAATTAAAAACTATAAAGCAATATTTTAAGGCTCAAATAAAAGTTTTCGGGGTACTTGGTGATATATATATATATATATATATATTCACAACTTTTTCTAAATACTTAAACTACTACAATATAAAATATATAATGTAAAACGATATATTGGGTGTGACACTTGCAATTGACATTTGGAAATTGGAAATATATGCGACATTATTGGTTTTTGTGATATGCGACATTATTGGTGTAAAATTAATCATAT